CACGCACGCACGTGTACGTGCGCACGCACGCACGTGTACGTGCGCACGCACGCACGTGTACGTGCACACGAACGCACGAACGTGTACGTGCACACGCACGCACGCACGCACGCACACACGCACGCACGTGTACGTGCACACGCATGCACGCAGCACGCACGTGTACGTGCACTACATAAACAGCGCTTTCTATCAGAACATGTGGTCATTCATCTGTAAATGTCAAGCAGCACGCTTCGCTTCTGCCAACCACAACACATAACAAATACACGTGACCTGATCTATGACCTCACGTGAAACATCGAATGTCTTGAATACACTTTCGAATGTCTACGATGCACTGTTGCGATCTTTTCCTTTTTTTCCCTTTTTTCCCGATTTTTTTCCCTTTTTCCGATTTTTTCCCTTTAAAAAAAAATCAAAACTGGACTCGGACTCGGACTCGGACTCAGGTGGTGTGGACTCGGACTCGGACTCGGACTCGGGGGGTGCGGACTCGGACTCGGACTCGGGGGTGCGGACTCGGACTCGGGGGGTGCGGACTCGGACTCGGACTCGGACTCGGTGGGTGCGGACTCGACTACAACACTGGTGTGTGTGTGTGTGTGTGTGTGTGTGTACGCGCTCTTGTGTGTATAATATCATCTCCACTTTCTGCTCTTCACTCTTTGTCGGGCCGCAGACTGAACGTGGCGGTAACGATGACCATGACAACGTTTTTGTCACGTTGAAAGTAGCTTTACATAAAACTTATTCGTGATATCAATAAGGATAATGATATATGACATGCAATTAATTAGTTTTATAATGTTATAACAAAATGGAAAAAAGTAAAATTCCGACAAAGACAAAAGCTTTTCGGAAGAACATGAAGCAATGTCGTTGTTTTTAGGTTTCCACGACAACAAAAACGGCGTCCAAACATGGCCACTTACATCCAACTACTATCACGTTGCGATGAAATTATTGCGGCTATATACACAAGAAGCAAGTAAATTATTCTTACTATTGCTTGATAAAATTATTGGAATTAGTTTTATATATAGTCTGGAACTACCAGAATCATTATACAAATTTTACAATATAGATTTATTTAGACTAGAGTCTAGAGTAGAGAGTAGAATCGCTCAAAGTTCAAACTCAGACAAGTCATTTTTCAACTGACTCAAAATCAAGTTCAGTGTTTTCAATTTAGGCAGTGCCAGTGGCACTGTCCGTGGCACTGGCAACGGGGACTACTTTACAGTACTAGGGCGCAAATCCACTTTAGAGTTTAGGTACCTTAGGTATCACGAAGTGATGCACAGACTTCTGTGTATCATCAATTCTGATGCACAGACTCCGTATATCAAGGAATGATGCAAAAACCCTAACCCTACCCCTAAGTCATAAAGTATAACCTTAGCCTAGGTATCACGAAGTGTGTTATAGAACTTAGGCCCGGTTATGGTTAGGTTTAGGGTTAGGGTTTTTCACTTTTTGCATCATTCCTTGATATACGGAAAGTCTGTGCATCAGTTGATGATGCACAGAAATCTGTGCATCACTTCGTGATACCTAAGGTGCCTAAAGTGGATTTGCACCAAGACAGACTACGAGTACGAATATTGGAGTAACACGCACGCAAGCAAGCAAGAAGCTGTAGCCTGTACGCAGTACACAGGCAGTCCTGTCGATATAAATAAAAGTTATAGCCATTCAGTGTCAATAGTAAGATTACTTCATATTTTCCAGTGAGGCACAAATTCAAAGAGAAAAAGAATATAGAGCTGCAGTCAAAGTACAAAGCTGGTTCCGTGGACTGAGAGTCCGGGCTTATCTCAGGTAAGTAGGCCTATGGCTCAAGGGGTCGTTGTCGTATCAGGTACTACAGATATGTACCCGAGGTACATATATGTACACACAAAGTGTACCAGACTTGTACTACAGAAGTGTACCCTAACCCTAACACTAACCCTAACCCTAAACATACCTCATATAAAAATATAAACATAATACTAAACAACCTAAAACTACCTCGGGTACATATCTGTAGTACCTGATACGACAACGACCCCCATCTGCGTAAGTATGCAGCGTCTGTGTTTATTGCATTTTCAATTATTTTGTCAGGTAACAATAAGCAAGGCTGTGGCATCCTTCATCAATTTAAAAAATTGTCATGACTCACTGCTATGTTATAATTATACTTTGTATGTCAAATATTCAACAACTTATAAAGTATTTGTTTCTGTTATGAATAAATTATGTTACAAATACAAGTACAAAATTATAATGGTGTATCAGTGTGTTATACCCAGGTGTTACTATACCATGTGTTTCTGTACACTGTTGAATATATTGAACCATATTTTCTTAACTTAGGTATTTGAATGACTCAGCAGTACATATTCAGAAAATATGGAGAGGTTATGTAGGAAGGAAGATGTACCGACAACATTTGGCGCATTTAGTTGCAAACATGAAGCAAGAATACTACAACTCTATGGCTTTCAAGGTGAAATTTAATCATCTAAATGAACAAATACATGAACATTTAATTGATTCAGTATTTCACTTAAAATAAACTAAATTTTGACTTTACGCTAATCTTTTAACTGTGATGTTTAACCATTTGTAAAAGCAGAAACATGTCATATTACATATACCCAATGCATATAACTAATGTTACTTGCTAGGCAACTTATGGTGGTAGGGCTTGTTAGCTTCTTGTTAGCTAACTTGTAGGGTAAGTTTAAAGCTTGATAATGATTGGTGTGCGCCTATGAATCTACTGCCCGGGCACTGGTAACTTGAGGAATCAAGTTTGGAAGCAATAGGGTGAAATTTTACAAACATGCAGTTCACGTTTATCAGAAATAAGTGAACATACTAATGCTAGGTAACATGCATTCAACTACATCCATTTATACTATCTGTGAACAAGGTGTCTATGAGTGTGTAGTTTACACATTTCCTAAACTACTGCCCTAGTACAACCATGGGTGCCCGCTGCTGAGATTGGATTTTCGATTAGAAAACAACCTGGCAACACTGTCCCTCACCATGACATTATTGTTCATAATCAGCACGTTTTATAGAATTATTTATACATTCCAGATACAGAAAATCTGGCGTGGTTACTACACACGGAAGTATATATTCAACTTCTATCAACGAAGAAAATACCTGGATAATCTGCAGATCAAGAATGAAGTGATAAGGTGGGAGTAACGCTAATCCAAAATTAGATTATGTTCAGTTTGCTTCAAGGGAAACAATAATCTAGGTTTAATGCACATTTTAAGTTAGAGTAGGTTTAGATTATGCTACATGAAAATGTGGTTCAATATTTACTAGAAATATTTTTTTTAAATAATTGATTATTTATATTAAAAAAAAAAAAATCTAAATATACAATTATTTATCTAATACATTTGTAACTTTTTAAATGTGCAACTTCGTGGTTTATCCCCATAGAAATTACTTGGAAGAGTACCATCAACAGAAGCAGGTAGAAGAGACGATGGCCCGTGAAAGTGAGCTACGTGCCAGTCTCCAAAAAGAAGCAGAGCAGAATCACCACCTTGTTAGCACGGCTGTAAAACCCGGAATTTATGGTCTACCAAGTCAGCCGTAAGTGATTCGTTAATATAGCCTATTGTAATGTACTTTAGAAGATCAGTTGGTGTGAAGTTGGTGTCAGTCGCTTCGGATGTGGACACATGTGAATATTATAGGTAGTTTTTTGCCTCTAAAGAGGTGGTTGGGTTGTTTTACTCATGAAAGCTTTGCAATAGCAAAATATTTCAGATTGGCTTTTACTGTTCGTTGCTCCCACAGACGACTGAAAGCAATTGAGGAGAGACTCTTGTCTGCAAAAAGGAGGCTTGCAAAAACACAGATGGAAGGAAAACAAAGAAGAGCACAGACACAGGAACAAACACCATATAGAGACATATGTAAGCAGAGACAACCCCTTCCACCTGTTGGACAGAAGATTCAGGTGATAACACACACAGGCATTCACATCCAGAATTGATAGATTTTCGAATCAATATTAACATGTATCCCAGATATGCAAACTGTAGTTGAAGCCATACAGACGTGAGACACTATTGTTGACAGATGCTTTATCTACTTATGTAGGATAACCTACACAGCAACCCCAATTAAACTTAGTGCAATCTCACGTCAAGTTGGTCACTTGCGTCCCTGCACAGTCTGTTCTCTTGCACATACATCTTTTGTGCATGATAGCAGAATACAACAGTTCATTACAACTGACTAATCTTTCTCAGCGAGATGATCATGCTCCCTCTTGGATATCGTTTCTAACTCATGTTCACCCAGTTTGTAGGTGTATGTGTACATTTACACCCCAAAATATTTGCTTTGAGGCATTTCATTACTGAGCATTGTTTTTATAATGTCCTATTGCAGCACTGATAGAGTAGAACTGCCTATCAATGCTATATGAATCGCTTTAGGCCAATTCAGTAAATTTAGTAAGAGGGTATACTGATTGTTTTATAAGCCTATTTTACAAGTTTATTTTTAGTGTGTCTACAGCTCACATGTGTAGTTCCATTTCAGGGCCCATTCAAACCACCGGCACAGGTGTACCAGCAGAGATACAAGACACTGCAACCCACGTTACGGCTGGCAACGTCGTTCACCTCGGAGGAGGAGACCAGAGCCGCTGACCGCCAGCGTGATTGGACGCAACGTGTCAACGACAACATGTATGACCCGTCTGTGTTTCTCTACCGGTGGCAACGTCAGTGCACGCGTAGCTGCAGTGAGAAGAGACATGAATTCATCGTATATGGAAAGAAGAGCATGTCATGATACTATTTGATGCTGCATATTAGTAATGTAATTAACTGGAAATTCTGAAATGCATGGCAGAAAACGACTTCCAGGGTTTGCATGGCTTGAAACCGAAATTGTGGAGCTTTGTTGTTTTGTTATAAATCTGGGGTCAGCTGCGTATCCTGAACACAACACCGCATATACATTAACAGTTATTTACGTATTTATGTATGCAGTTATTTATGTAGGTACATTCAGTGGGCCTGTATTTTCATCAGTGATTGCTGTATTAAATAGACTTGTTTGAAGATAAGTTTAGAAAATCTAAATTTAAAAAAAATTAGAATTTCGTATCCCATTCATTCATTCACTGCTTGCAGCTTCCTTCCTTTCTCACACACTGACTACAAGTATGAGCCCTTACTCCACTCCAAGAGCAAATATGGGAGTCTGCCTTATGGTACAAAATATTTCAGGGAGTTGGACGAATCAAAACAGGTGAAGATAATTTTCAGATTTTGCACAATAATACAATTTTTCTAAAGGTTTTGTTGATGGTCACGTTTTATGGTGCAAATTAAATAATAAAATTTGGTATAAAATAGGTGGTGCAGTGTTGAAAATTATTCACTTGAATCATCACTATTAAGTAGTATAATCAAATTTTGTTCTGTACGACTGCTTATTATATATTGTATGCTGTACGACTGCTTATTATATGCTTATGACAATTGATTAACTTTCAGCTCTTCCAAACAGTGGTGCCACCTATACCCATCTTTGAGAAGCTTGGCAAAACGTACAGCGACTCATGTGCTGCAGCTGAATCGTCATGAAGAAATGAACTGTTTTCCATTTATAAATAATAACATCTGATGTTTGGTGGTATTTTAGATACAACAGATATACAAGTAGACAGGTAGAACAATATACAAGCTTCAAGTAAAAAACAACATGCTTATATTATAAACATAATATGTCAGGCGTGATTCAATTTTTTGTATTGCTATAAACCAATATATACAAACATTGTTGTTATAGCTTTTTTTCTATTTAATTAATAAAAATATATACAAGGCAAGGTTGATGTGAGGTATGGGGTGAAAGTGCAGGAGAGGATCTCGCAAACCAACATACAACCGTTATAGCATTTCTTCTATTTAATTGATAAAAATATATACAAGACAAGGTTGGTATGGCAAAAAATGAAACGAAAGCATAAAATGAGCAAGGGGCTATAATAGAGATTTAAGCTTTCCAAGATATGAACAACGAATAAATACAATTTCATCAGTAATGCCGTAACATATACCATCATCATGAAAACTAAGCTGTTTGTCAAAATTGCAGGAAATGTCAATATTGAAGAGTGTCGTCTGTGGAGTTTGACTCTCGCATGTCCAAACTGTCCATAACTGCATTGATGTCTCCCTGATGTTTCGTGATTTCAGCATCCAAATCTTCTAGGCTGATCTGGTAGATGTCCATCAGGGACTGACAAACAAATTTTAAATAATTATCATGTGTACCACACCAGGTTTAATTCTACATACTATGACTTATGTATTAAGATACATGTGCACTAGCTTACCAGCTCTACAGTTTTCTTCTCCTCATTAAAATATGGTACGAATACATATTCATACACACCTATACAGGTTTTACTTAATATTGTTTTGAAAGTACTTCGCCTACGAGTAAAAGTATCTAAAGAGATGAGACGGATGGGTTTCACTCTGTGTATATTGACATTAGTCTCGCAACCCGGCCGGGCTAAAAAATACAAGGCGTATAACTTCACGTCAAACTACGTATCTGAACTCGCTGTGCACTGCTTCTAACGAAACCCTTACGTCTACCAAGATCTAACGTGATTTCAATCTCTGACAGCTGTTTCAGCAGCTTATTTTGGCCCAACTTGCACGACAAACTATCAGCGGCATGAACTGTAAAGCATAAACTAGCGTACATCAAGGAGCTAAATATAATAAAGAGAGGAAGCAGATTGGCTGTGCGCTTTTCGCCTCAAAGGCCCCATCTATGGACCATAATCAGCTGCAACGGCTGTGCAGACCGAACCCAGAGACAATAGAACACTAATCTGTTCTAGGGTCTCTGCCGAACCCAAATTTGGGCCAGATATGGCGGCGCTTCCTCTCCTTGTTATATTTAGCTCCTTGGCGTACATGACAGCGAACGGTGTTTAGTTCCGCTTACCCGTGCCACGCTCACGGTTTCCTCAAGGCTGGCAGGTTTCAAGCATTGCCATACTGTTGGCCCCGCCTGCTCAACCTTACCAGCAACGTCTTCTGAATCTGTCGAGCTGTCACTCGCTTCTGCAACATTTTAGATTCACAGTTTCATGCTTGTATGATTTTGAGGCAATTTCACATGGGGTTTTGTCCTGTAACCTTCACTTTCTCAAACCAATGCAAATTTGGGTATTTTCAACTGACCATTACAAACAGATTTGCATATATCACTAATCGTCACGACTAAGTAATGTTCTCCAAATAATTGCTATGTCTCTTATGATGGTCCATTAGAAGTGAACTATGAAATAATTCTCAATACAAGCAACAACTCTAACCTATTTATTTAGTTCTGAGACTGCTGTTATGTATTGACGAAGAGTGATGTAACTCATAAAGGTATTTTATTGCTGGAGCTGGTACATGTTCTGCCTAGCAGGCACACGAACTGGTGAATAAGAGAGCGCGATATCAATCCGCGTTGACCTAACAATAAGGTACTAGATTATATAATGTGCATGTGCATAGTAAGTAGTCCATACTATTACAACTGCCACTGTGTGAAGAAAAAGCGCAATGGGATTTGTCAGCAAGTGAACATAATCAAGAGATGAGGAAACACCCATGTGATAAATTAGACTAAACATGCACGTGTGCTTATTACCTCTTCTGCACTTTGTTTGTTGTTAACATTCTACGTCATTACCAGTGGAAAAAATACACGGGGGCTCGGGGCGATTTAGCCCTCGAAATGCCAAAAAGAGCCCTGGAAATGACAAAAAGAGCCCCCGTAAATTTGCATAGAGTTCAATGCAAACCACATTTTAGAGTGTTATTTTCATGCACGCGAGCTTGAAAAGTAGCCCCCGAAAAATAAATTTTATTTTTTTCCCTGGTCATTACCTTGTATAGCCACATCCTCGATCATGCACTTGTTTTACATGAGTATCTATTCGTTTACTGTTTAAGCTTTAAGGTAAACTGAAGACAAACCTACCATACCCACCATGGAAGTTGTTACCACCTACATAGCTCCTACCTTGGCATTCGATCGGAGATAGGGCAAGAGCGGAGTCATCTTCGGAGTAGAAGTACCCAGAGGACACTGCAAGCGGCTTGCCACGAGCGCCCCGTTTTCTTTCGTTTTTGCTTGAACTTTCCGCCCGCAGGGGGTCTACTTGTGTAGATGTCCAAGGTTCACGAACATCCTCGTTTATGCTGTGCCTCGTGCTGTGACGACTCTCGGTTTGGTCTAACCTCGCAGCTTTGGTCGACGGCACCATACTGAGCTTCACTTTACCGCTACTGTCTTTTGATTCCGTTCTCCCACTGTCGGAATGTCGGACCCTTGTTCAGGCACACACGTATATACGCGCGGGCGGCGGGGCACGCTTGATTGAATGCAATACAGTACAGTACACACATGCATGCTTAAATGGTAAACACTTGACAGTCACACTGTACCATGAATTCTCAGCATCAGGCCATCCTTAAAAAATTATATGTTTGCTGTCCTCCGACCGACCAACGAAAATAGCCTCGACGAAGTTTTTTTTGACATTTTGGTTCCATTTTTTTTTTTTGACATTTCTCATAGTTAAGACTGAAACACAAGGCATGTGTGGTAAACATGAGGACAGACTTAAAATAACTATTACGCCTCACAAAAGAAGACCTACCCACTAAAAAAATCCTGAGTCGGGGGACAGCAAACATAGAATTTTTTAAGGATGGCCTCAGTGAGCCTAAAGCTGAAGTGAACCTGAGGCTGAGGTACTGCCGACTGCTGGGCTAGGTTAAGGGTGTTTACAAACAAACAAACTTTTTTTTTCTGTTTTAAATAACTCATTTGCATCCTTCATCATCATCTTTTTCTCTTTTCCTGCGTCTTCTTCTACATTGTCATTAGCTCTAGTAACTATAGCCCGCGTGCAGTTGCCACAGGCGGCAACTGTACGCGGGCTTAGTATAGTACTAGAGCTACATTGTCATTTGCCGATTTGGTGACTTCTCCCAGAATGAAAAATGCTTTCAAAGGTTTTCTACGTCAAAAGTATAAATATGAAATAATTGTCAGGTTCACATGAGGCTAGCCGCTAGAATTTTTTTTTACCAATGTTTAAGTAACTTAATAAGTACTTAATAAAGTTACTTAAGTACTTAATAAATTTCATTTGTAATGTAAACAATTTAAGATGATGTTAGATTCTGTACACAAACTATCTAATTAACTGCCATTCGTCAACTTCTAACCAGACCAACTTAATTTTCTGCTGAAGACCGAAGTAGCAGGAATTTAAATTTATACTTTTAAAGTTTAATAGTAGAATAAAATAGAGTTGAGAAAGCGTCCTGGCAGGAGGCGAAACGTAAGCTGTACGTTTGCAATCTTCACGGTTGAGTAACTATTAACCCTGTTAGATCTAGAGTAAAATAGTTGGTAAATTGTAGTAACATAGTATTTTAAAAGGTCACACATATGACAAGTTGATCAGCTATACATTAGAATTATTGTCCTCTTATTTAAAAAAATGTAGCATCTTGCTATTGATGCAGGCTAGATTTAATTACATCTTTTATATATTTTTATGCAAGGTTGACTTAACCGTGGACCAGATGCAAAAATTAAGCAGTCAAATTTGGCTTGTAATGTGTGCAAAGTGCATGGCTGTTGAAAATTGTGGAACTGCAGCAGATTAATAAATACCTGAGGCTGTCCCATTTATTTTTTAAATGTAAATGAAGTAAAAGAGGTACGCATATGGAGACCATAGTGCGCCATATGATAAAACGTTTCTTTGTGTACAGTGTAGCAAAGATCGCAATGTCTCGTGGTAAACAGAATGAGGCAAGATCGCTACGAGACATATGTGTTGGCGAAGACTTTCGTCTTGCAGCCACCATGACGATAGAGAAGTTTCGCACAGATGAAGAACAAAATGGTAGGCTTCTAATAATTTCTCCCATTGTTTTCAGATATTGAATTTAATTTCAGTTTTTTTAAAAATCCAGCTGTTCTAAGTACAAATTATACATTGTACCATAATGCTAAGTACTGGTGTAAAGTGTGTAGTACTAATTGACATTTGAAAGTAACTTTGTATCTATGTGATATACAACATTACAAAGTATCATGCTATTCGTTTGTTCCGGCAGTACCCAGGGAGACATAGACCCTGGCAGCCTTACTATTTGGTACAACTAGCTTAATTTTCCCAGAGATATCTAGTGAATCCGTGAGAAAAACTCCCACTCCATGGCCACGTAAATGGGAGCAACTGTCAGTATATTTCCCAAAACTGCCTAACCGCGCTACTCGATTGTTTGGGCAATTAACGCAGTCGTGTATGTGACGTCATTCCTGCATGAATCATGTTGGCTCAACTTGGCGGAGCTCGTCATGGAGCTCAGAAGCAGGGAGTGATTGAACCCAGATGCAATGCGGTGCAATTATTCATGTATAAAGAAAGTTTCTCCCATTTACATTGTCATTGCCATGGAGTGCGAGTTTTCCTTGGAAATTCACCTGATTTCTCTGGGTTGCATTCCACCAAGGTGTAAGGGCAATAATTCAAACAAGTGACATGAACATTCAGCTACGCACAGTACTAATCCATTGCCCAATATAGAGGCAGTTGTTTGTGTATTTGTGCTGTTATGGTGTGAAACGAAGTGAGCGTTGTGCAAATTTGGCGTTCACGCTTTCCCACCTTAGGGCTAAGCTGCTCTATATGTCTATTGAAATTGTTTGTGTACAGCAGTGTGCGTGCGGTAAGATTGCGCGTTTCCAAAGATCATTTGTGATTTGAACGGCGTTTACGTTAGACTGATTAGTCGATAGAGAATACATAAACATTGACACTTTCACTTTGCCTTTGGTAGGCCAAGTAAATTTACATTTACTGATTTAGTGTTTACATAATAGTAACGTTATTATTGAAGCGTTCCAAGCCTGTGACGAGGAGGTTATTGCAGCACTACTACGTACTAGTACTTTACAGAAAACAAACTCTTATCTGTGTTGTGACATGTAGTGCAAAGTAAAAGTGCACAAATCGTAACACACTAACAGCCTAACGCAGATAGGTCTATGTCCCCCTGACCAGGGGCATGTACAGGATTTGTACCATAGGGGGTCTAACCGTAACCCAAACTTGTGAGCACGCGAAGGGGGGAGGGTCTGGGGTTTTGAAATTAGACCCCCTTAGATGCGTTTTCTGCGCGAGCAGGGGGGGGGGTGTGGCCCCCCCCTGTACACGCCCCTGCTGACCTCTGTTTGACATTTTGGCTTTGTTGCCTGTGTTAATTTGGTCGATGGTGTCAACTCGTTTCACTCTCTTTTTTAACCAAGTTGAGCTCGAATCTTCTGGAGCTGCAAATCAAATTTTTCAATTTGAAATTTCTGTCTCACAACAAACTGTAAGTTCAAAAGTGGATATTTTTGGAAAGAGTGAAGAAAATTAAAGCACTTTTTACAATACACTTGGCTATGCATCTATTTCAGGCTTAGACTTTCTTTAGCAAGGTAGGGGGCTCATATCTGTTGTAACATATCAAGCTTTTAAAACACAAAATGCAAAAAGATTTTTGCAAAAAGATGCATAGAGTTCTATAATCCATTACATTTCGCTGAATCAAAAGCCATGGCAAGGTGGCAACTTGGAAATGTGTCAAATATTGAGAAAATGGGTAGCTCTCACACGTGGAAGAGATAGAGCTACTCTGCACAGCAGTAAAAGATGCATCTCACTATTATTAGTACAAACCATTTAGAAATAGATGCCACGATAAATAACATACCTAACATGTTATCCTGGTTAACGGAGATAACTTTGAGGTATCGGCACTTGAGACTTTGCCACGTGTGGCATGGCACTACCTGTCAGTTTATATTGAAATAGGAGATTTAGGTCAGGATATGCCAAATATAAATGTAACTCTAAATGTAATCAGTAATCACACCACTTTCTATAATCACACATAATTCTTAATACATCTAAGAATAAAATTGCCGTGTCTTTGGCAGATATAAGCATGTAATTGGCACGTCCCAGATGTCTTTTATGCCATCACTAATCTTTTAAATAAAAACCATTCGGGCACAGCACTCTCACGATCAGTTAGACATTGAGTATATGTACATTATTATGTTATGAACACAACCATGTTCAAACATAAAAAAAACCTACTCCTTTTTTCTCCATCATCACCCACATAGCCCGGCCTTTAACATTTCTGAGGAGGTTGTGTTTTCTGATGTAAGCAAGAATCTTTTGGTCTTCCTCAGGTTTGTACTTGACTCGTCTTTTGAAGCACACAAAATGAAAAATAGATGACAGTCAGTTAAGATAACTTTCTATTGGATAATGCATAATACAACTAGAGCACTCGGAGAGCACAGACCTGCGCCAAGGCAGCTCAATTCTCTGACTAAATTTTTTTATTAATTAATTAAATAATTAATTGAATCCGGATCACCACCAAAATGTAATCAATCCTAAGTTACCCCATTTCTGACCTATCCTGAAAATTTTATTAAATGGATCCGGATCACCACCAAAATCTAATCAATTCGAAGTTAGCCCATTCTGACCTATCCTGAAAATTTTATGACAATCCGTCCATAACTTTTTCAGTTAGGCTGTACACAAACAAACCAACGCACAAACGCACAAACCAACAAGCACACGCCGGTGAAAACATAACCTCCTGCCAACCCCTTGGCCGAGGTAATAATAGTAATTGTGTTAATAAAATAGCAGTAGTTATAGATCATGCAAATAATTTGGAGAATCTACATATAATGATTGAATAACAACAGATAACCAGAAATGTAGAACTTTGGTTTTTTCTGTCATGCACAGGCTCTAATAGTGAGCCGACTTGGGCCAGGACCCAATTTTCGTTTTTTTCGTTTCGAATTATATGCCCATTTCTAAGATAAATGAAGTGTCTACCTAGTGTGAACTCTCTCTTATTGTCTCACTCTATGGTCTCACTTAGTATTGTGCACATCGTGGCTTAAAATTACACTAAAAATCAACTCTAAACTGAATAAAGGTTATCATATTTTCATTTATTTGGGAAAAAACTGTAGAAAAGGTAACATTGGAACAGTTGGTAACTTGGTAATAAATGTTGACCCCACATCTGAAAGAAGAATAGTGTCAGACAATGGGTCCGGTATGCAAGTAAGATCTGTCAGACTTGCACCTAAAAAAACACTTTAGTCTGACAGGTTTGATGCATTTCGCATTCTCTGCCGTAAAAAAAGTATATATATACATATATACATATATATGTATATAAACTACATACAATGATGTATACTTACTGTACACAACAATTAATAAAATGTTGACAATTAACAATTAATGTTAATATAGCAGGAAACTGACCCTGTACGGCTGGAAGTGTAATGCTTGGTGTTTTGCGTGGGCACTGGTATACTGCGTACACCAACGTCAGGAGAAGGATCGACGTCTTCATCTCTAACCTGCTTATCATCCAAATAATCTTCATTCCTAATACTGAAAAATCAATTATACAGAAAAACATGTCAACACTAAAAATGCGTGTCTCCAAAATTATGAAAATGTTGCCATTTCATCAGCGCGTATCTAGCAATATTTGCCAATATAATTTCTGGACTAACTTTTACACCTGTTTTATATAACAGTTGCTTCGACCCTTATGTTTGACTTAAAGCCTCACAATGCGCATCCAAACGCTAATTTCTCCAGTACTAGACTAGCAAATACTTCGTGGCATGCATAATCACACTACCTTATGACAAAATAAACTCTAGTTCCTCCCATTTGACTACGCGTTTGCTTAAAGGAACAGTAGCCTCTAGGT